GGCACAAGCCTATAATCCAACACTTGAGAGCTGGAGGCAAGAGGATCAAATGTTTGAGGTCAGCCTGGGCTATGAAACCATACCTTGTCTAATAAAACAAGCAAAAAAAAAAAATAGTTTTTTTTCTTTGGGGTGCTGGTGATTGAACCTGTAGTCTCACATATGCTAAGCAAGTGCTCTACCACTGAGCTACATCCCCAGCCCTAATACTAAGAATTTTTATATTCCCCTCTCAGTTTAAGACAGCACATCAAAACAAAACAAAAAAGATATAGAACATCTGAAAAATAGTAAAGTAGCTTTATTGACATACCTAGCTCTTTGTAATAGAGAACAAACCTTTTCAAGTGCAAATAGAACATTTGCAAAAATTGATTTTAGTTTGGACCACAAGAATATCAAACTTCCAGGAATAGGTATATGGAAGACTACTAAAATAACATCCTAGGACAAAAAGACTCACCTGGGAAAATTTAAACATGTTACTAAATTTCTCTTGATCCAAAAATGATTAAAAAACATAATTCTAGAATACATTAAAAGTACGAGAATTGTTGAGCTACAACCAAAGTTAGTCAAACAATTTAAAGCACTGAGTACCTCTGAGTATATTAGTGTATAACTAAAAAAGGCAGAAGAGGGCTGGAGGTGTGGCTCATGTGGTAAAGTGCCTGATTTGCAAGCTCAAAGCCCTGAGTTCAGACCGTGGTTCTACCAAAAACAAAACAAGACAAAAACATAAAAAAGGCAAAAGAAATTGAATAACATAGTAAACTAATAGAGCTTAGAACACTGAGAAAAGAATTTATAATAAAAATTCAGTGGAAACTACTAAATTAGAAAAAGTAAATATTGGTTTTAAAATGAATCAATAAAAGTATATAAACTTATAACTGACTTTATTTTTTTAAAGGGCAAAAGCATAGTATGTATACAAATTCTGCTGAAATAAATATCAAAACAGGAAAATTTGAAAATCATACTTTTTCACAGAGCTTTAAGTATTTAAACAATGGGATAATCTCCCTTTTGTGTGTGTGTGGTTTTATTTTTAGGGGTGTGGCCTAGGTGGGTGTTGGAATTGGATCTTGGCCTCATGCTTGCTAGGCAGGCGCTCCACCACCTGAGTCATGCTCCAATCCTTCAGCAGGCGCTCCACCACCTGAGTCATGCTCCAATCCTTTCAGCTTTTAATTTTATTCTTTCCCTTGAGACAGAGTTCTCTTTCCCAGGCTGGCACAGAACTTGGCTATGTAACCCAAGCTGACCTCAAACTCTTTTGCCTCTACCTTCCATAGGCTGGGACTTTTTAAATTATTTTTTTGGATAGAGCATTTTGTTTTTGCCTCAGACCAACAGAGGACCACGTTCTTCCCCCCACACCTACCACATAACTGTGACCACAGGCACACTCCACCATGCTCAATTTAATTGGTTGAGATGGTTCTTACTACCTTTTTCAAGATAGCCTTGAACTCTGATCCTCCTGATCTCCACCTCTCAAGTAGCTGGGATTACAGGTATGAACCACCATGCCCACCTGTAACCATGGGATAATTTTCTTAAAAAAATATATATATATGCACAAAACCTGAACTTAGCCAGGTGTGGTGGCAGATGCCTATACTCCCAGCACTTGGGAGGCTGAGGCAGGTATATTGCAAGGGAATTTAGTAAGTAGGAAAATGTAGATAAGCTTAATATATAGCCCAGTAGCCACCATAAAACCATTTGCAGTAACCCAACAGCCAAAAGAATCTGAACATTACCTTTGTAAGATAGGTGCAAAGGTATTGAAGTAATTGACTGGCCAAAAAGATGGAAGTGGATTTATTTCTTACACTATACTCCAGGATAAATTTGAAATAAATTAGAAAAGTAACAAATGAAACTAAGTACTTAAAGAAAATATGGGTGCCAGTGGCTCATACCTATAATCCTAGCTACTCAGGAGGCAGAGGTCAGGAGAATGGTGGTTCAAAGCCAGCCCAGGCAAATAGTTTGCAAGATCCTATCGAAAAATCCCATCATAAAAAAAATAGGACTAGGGGAGTGGCTTGAGGTGAGCACCTTGAGTTCAAGCTGCAGTCCTTCAAAAAAGAAAAGAAAATATGGGTGAATTTCTTTTGAAACCTGAAAATAGTGAAACTTCTTTCACCTTTGCTTTTGGAGGCATTTGCATTTATATTTTGGCCTGTCAAACCCACCACTAAGAATCAGTCTTAAAAATACAGTGTTGCTGGGCACCGGTGTCTCATACCTGTAATCCTAGCTACTTGGGAGGATAAAATTGAGAGGATCACAGTTGAAGGCCAGCCCAGGGAAATAGTTCATGAGACCCTTCATCTCCAAATAACCAGAACAAAATGAACTGGAGGTGTTGGCTCAAGCGTTAGAGCACCTGCTTTGCAAACATGAAGCCCTGAGTTGAAACCCAGTCGCACAAAAGGAAGAAGAAGAAGAAAAAAAAAACAACGTCAAAAAGTACAAAATGGGACTGAGAATGTAGTAGTGGAGTGCTTGTCTAGCTTGTGCAAGGCTCTGGGTTCTATCCTCAGCACCATAAGGGGAGAACAAGAAAAAATAAACAGACAAAAAGCACTACAAAATGAAATAAAGGTATCAGAATCACATGGAGAGCCACAATGCAGATTCATGGGCTCCCTTTGAGTTTTTAGTTCAGTAGGTTTGAGCTTTGGCCAAATAACTTATACTTCTTATAGATCTTGGTTAGTAATAATATTCTAGTCACGTAATAAAAGCAGAAGAACAGAAAAGAAGCAGCAAAGCATGGAGGAAGAAATGACAGTGCATCTTTGTGCACAATGTAGTTCTCTGCAGCTATTGTAAGAGGTACAGAAGATCTCTGTATTCTACTCATGGCTGTCTCCAGGATAGTCAAAAGTACTGGACAGTTAATAGTATTTGATGTTTTGTTTAAAGAAATGATTGAATATACACATATACAATATTTTCATCCAACAAAACCAAAAGTACAAATATAAGAGCAATAAGAGGATAAACAGCAGCAAAAAAACTAATAAAATTATTTCCTGTAGAGAAAAAAAGGGTGGGAGTGTAGATAGAAAAGAAGGCTTAGACTTACATGAAAGTAATTTGTTTGATGGCCTTATGTAATAGTTTTTTAAATGTACTTTCTAAAAATATAAAAGTGAAATCTATGTCAGATGTATTACATAATGACATAGGTAAGTTACTGTGGGGATAAATCTTAAGTGTGGGAGGTAAGACACAAAGAAACAAACTGCATTCAGTAGTCTTATTTTTATTAATTACATTGGTTTGATTTCTTTGAAACCAGATCTATAATAGAAAATTAATTACAGTAATGTGGGCTCAGGAGATAGCTCAGTGGTCGAGTCTTTGTCTAGCCCATGTGAAGCCTTAGGTTCAATACTGCATGCAGAAAGTTGTAGTAATGTTACTAGGAACCAGGATTATCAGGAGAAGAAACAGGATAGAAATACAAAGTCAGAGAAGTGAAACGACAACCTGGACTGTCAAGTCATAGTATCTAAGCCTGAATTTAATTAATCTTTCTAAAAGAAGTTTTGGGTTTTTTTCTCTCCTCTCCCTCCTCCCCCCAGTACTAGGAATTGAACTGAGGGCCTCACTTACAAGGCAAACAATCTGCCACTTGAGCCATACCCTCAGTCCTTTTGTTTTTAGCTTGTTTTTTCAGATAGAGTCTTTTTGTTGTTGTTTTAGCAGCACTGGGGTTTGAACTCAGTTTATTGTGCTTGCTAGGTACGTGCTCTACCACTTGAGCCATGCTTCCAGCCCCAAACTGTTACATATAATTTTTTTTAATTGTTGAACATCAAAGTATACTGAGTATAAGGTTTCTTTTTGCTGCTCAATCATCTCCAGAATTGGAATCCAACTCCATTTTGTATGATACCATGAAATAGTTGTTCTTTTGTTACTGTTTTAGCATAAAACTTGTAGTATGTCAGTTGTTTCCCATATATAAACGTTTTCCTAAATGTTGGGATACAGAACTAAATTGTCTTAATATTGTCTACTGTTATCTGTTCTATATTTTTTCAGACATTAGCAAAATTTTCATATTCTAATTTGCATATTCTAATGAACTGTACTCCATTTTCATGTCAGGTAGCTGTCTGTCAATAAATACTTTACATGATATGTTGAAGCTTCTTTGTCTGACCATGGGTGCCATTTTGCTATTAATGCCTTTTTCTGTTTGCTACCATGAAAGGAAGTCAACATGCACTCTTCAGTTCTCATCACTAGTGATGATTGTAATTTTTCTCTCTCTGTCTCTCCCCCACATAAAGAGTCTGAATCATCATTTTCTATGTTCCACGTTATCATAAATAGTATTCACATGCAAATTGTATAGAATGTAAAGATCTGCTTGTTATTTGTTATAAAAGTTATAGGCTGTTGAAGGAAGAACCTTTCTTGTTCATGTAGGACTCTGATTTTGCAAGCTCTCTGACAGTGCTACATAGCTAGTGAAGTAGAAAATAGTTCTGTCCTGTGCACACCATCTTCCATTTGAGAAATCTTCAAATGCCCTCCTTACCCTAATAAGCCTAAAACTGTTGAGTGAAGAGATGAAGGAATTTTGTGGTGGAATGGCCTTACTGCCTTCAATTTTAAACTTCAATTCACTGCTTTTTTCATGGTGGTACTGGGGTTTGAACTCAGGGCCTCATGCTTGCTAGGCAGGTGTTCTGCAACTTGAGCCACGCTCCTAGCTCTGTGTGTGTGTATGTCTGTGTGTGTTTTGTGTATTTTCAAGATAGGCTCTCACAGACTGTTTGCCATGGCTGGCTTTGAACCATGATCCTCCAATCTCTACCTCCTGAATAACTAGGATTACAGGCATGAGCCTCTGGCACCTGGCTAGTCACAGTTCTTAAAGAGATAGCAGCATATTATCTGGGGAAGGAATGGTGCTTGATGTCAAGTCTGATAACATAATTTTTCTTTGTCACTTTTGCCTACAGTATCATCTAGACTGTCACAACCATCCTCCCCACAGTCAGTCTGCCCATCACCCACCATCCCAGCAAGTAAAGTCATTTCTCCATCACAGAAGCACAGCAAGAAGGCACTAAAACAGGTAAGTATTGCAGTCTGTGTTTATCAGCAGGATAATCTCCCAAATTAAAAATACATTACAAGAGCTAAGTAGTGGCACATACTGGTAATCTCAGCTACTTGGGAGCTAAAACTGTAGGATTCAGAATTTGAGCCTAGACAATATGACAATACCCTGTCTTCCTTCCCCTCATATCCCCCCATCCCCCCTACACACAAACGCATTCTAGCAGTTACGGAAAACTTCTTGGAAGCTTTTACATTGGGCTCTTTTGAGGGGAAATTCTTCATGCAGCATCCCAATTTGTTAGTAACTTATGTACCTTGTGTAGAGTGCCCATTACAGGTTTTTGGTAGATGCTCTAGATCACGTTTTTGGAGTTCCTATTTTTTCCCAGTTTGCTAAGAAGTTACCTTTATGAATGTGTTTTTAAAGTCATGAATAGATGTTGAATTTTTCAGGTTTTTTTTTTTTTTTGCGGTGCTGGGGATCGAACCTAGGGCCTTATGTATACTAGGCAGGCACTTCAACCACTGAGCCACATCACCAACCCTCAGGTTTGTTTTCTTTAGAATTTATTGAGATGAACAAGTAGATTTTTCTCTTTTAACCTAATAAATGTAATGAGACAGCTAGATACTCTAATATTACACTGTCGTTAACTGTGTAGAATAAACTCTACACGGTACCTGTTCATTAAATATTTTTAAAGATGGATTTTGTTGTTAAGATTTTTAATATGAACTTTGTAGTTTTCTTATATTATCCTAGTGCAGTTTGAAATCAGGATTGCTCTAGCATCATAAAATAAACTATATTGCTCTGTATCTTTTTCTAAATTTTTGAATAAAATTATAGAAATATCTTAAGTTCAACGAGTAACATCTTAAAATCATTTTTCTAGCATTACAGTATTATTTGTTATTATTAGTCTCTTGATTTTTTGTATTTTGAGCCAGTTTTAGAAATTTATTTTTCTTTTGAAATGGTCCATTTTACCTACTTTTTTCAAATGCTGGTATAAAGTTGTACATATTGGGGAGGGTTTTTTTCTTTTATTTTTGTGTAGTACTGGGATTTGAACTTGGGGCCTCTTGTTTGCTTGGCAGTGCTTTACCCCTTGAGGCACTAAAACACCAGCCCTATTTGCTCTGACTATTAGTTTGGACATATACAGCACTTCTTTTGCCCAGGCTGGCCTAGACTGTGATCTTCCCCATTTTAAGTTTCCCTCTGTTGCTGGGATGATAGGCATCCACCAAGCCCATCTTTTTTTCCATTGAGATGAGGTCTCACAAACTTTTTTCCCCAGGTTGACCTGGAACCTCGATCCTCCTGATCTCAGACATCCAGCTCAGAGTGCCCTTTTGTTCCTCAGTGTTGTCCCTTCATAATGTATTTTCTTTTTTCCCCAGTACTACTTGTAAGTAGGTTGTTTGGTTTTCCAAAAACTGGCTTTGGAATTTTTTTTGAAATACAAATGACAATAAATATAAACTCACTAGTAATTAGGTCTAAATTTAGGAATTTGGTTATATCAATCATTGCCAAGTACATGGGAAAATGGTCACTCACTTGCTGGTGGAATATAAGTTACCACAGCCATTTTGGAAAGGAATTTTACAATATCTTAAATTTTAAATGCACATTCCCCATAATTAAGGATTTGAACAAGGAAAAATAAATTGATGACTGCGGTGCCCTTTGAGGATTGTACACTAGAGCTAACAGTGATGGTCAAACAAGAATTTAGTTTTGAATTTGAATTAAATGCAAAGAATACATTTGTAAGACTGGGCATGGTGGCTCATGCTTGTAATCCTAGCTACTGGAAGCTGCTCAAGGCAGAGATCAGGATCATGGTTCGAAGCCAGTCCAATCAAAATGTTAGCAAGACCTCATTCCATAAGCTGGGCATGGTAACATACACCGTCATCTCAGCTATAGGGGAAACAGAAATAGGAAGATTGCAGTTCAAGTGGCATGGACATGAATACAACACCCTATTTGGGAGAGGGGAAACAAAAACTGAAGCAAAAGGGGTGGGGGCATGACTCAAGTGATAGAGTACCTCCCTGGCAAGTATGAGGCCCTGAGTTCAAACCCCATTGCCCCCCCAAATGCATTTTTAATCTGTGTATACAATAAAACTAATATGTTTTAATTACTTAGGTTTTAAAGTGTTTAAGCTACAAGTGAAGGCACTTATGTGTATCTCCCATTCTTTAACAAACTTAGATAGAATGTTGAATGTCTGTGAACAAATTTAACTCTGGGAAGTAAGTGTGTATTTCACTGAAATCCTCCCCAACAATCACTGTTTTTCATCAGGAGAAACATTAATTTTAGCTCAAAATGCTGTGTTTTACTGATTTTCATAGAAACATGTAACTCCCATTCTTTCTCCAACTTAGATAGAAAGTTGAATGTCTAGGAATCAGTTTAACACTGGAAATTGAATCTATCTCACTGGACACCTCCGCAGTTACCACTGTTTCTCATTGGGAGAAACATTCATTGTAGTGCTTAATGTTCACTTAATGCTTTCACTTGTGGCTTAAGTTATCCATAAGTTTGGTAAGATTGATTATTACCTGCCTAAGTATCTCTTAGCTCTTGTATTTTTGTAAATTCTTTGGTGTTCCCCAGGAAAAGGCAAGTATTTTCTTAAACCTTGTTGACTAGTTTATGACACATATTACACATGTTATAATATACTCCTTAATCCTAAGAATCAAACATTTTATTTTCTTTAGGGAATATCAGTATGGTATGTAAACTAAACCTTTGCCCCCAGGGTATGTTTTACATAGTATTACGTAAGAAAAATTATGTGATTATCCTTTAACACAAATGAGGAGGTTCTTATTTTTTATTAATTTTAAAATAATATAAGCAACAGGGCTTGTAAGTCACTGAGGGGGCAAGAATTGTGTGTATTTCTTGAATAATGGAATATAAATTATTCTGCTTATATCATAGTCTCAATTATGATCACAGCAGAAATAATGGGATCACTGGTTCTGTTAAGTTTTGCATTAACCTGGAATATGTAACAAGAGATGTTCGGCCTGGTTGCAAAGAATGAGAGAGTAAGCCATTATCAGTTGTCATTTTTATACATTGTGCTTTTGCCTCAGCTGTTCTAAGTATTGTAAGTGAATCAGTTTTGTAAGCTGCATCCAGGTCTTAGTTACCTTATATCATCATCAGCTCTCAGCATGGACGTAATGTTGTTGCCATTGTGCCTATAGCAAAGACAGGGGTATGTATGAATGTTATGGAGGGGAACTATGGATTGGGAAGAAGGAATCCAAAACTAGAAGTAGCCAGTTCCACACTTTTCTGCATGGTGGTACTGAGGAAACCTCACAAAATCGTAAATTTCCAGGTTTTTCCAGAAATCAAATTATCTTGCTATCAGTCTCTGTCTGTCTGTCTGTCTGTCTGTCTCTCTCTCTCTCTCTCTCCCTCTCCCTCTCCCTCCCTCTGTCCCTCCGAGTAAGAAAATTGCCTTAATGATGAAAGTTTGAGAATTTCTTGGTCTTTCTAAAAAAAATTCTAAGTTGAATTTCCAAATGTACCCTGTGAATTAAGAACCTCATAGACATGAAAATGATTTGAATTAGCCAGAAAGAATCACTATTCTAGAATCAGCATTGTCTGATATTCCTTCCACTCTGTTTATTGCATTGTTGTAAATTGCTGAGATTTAATCATTGGGTCAAATTGATTGCTCTTACCCACGATAATTCATCTAGTTATTTAAATGTACCACCTCTGAAGTATAAGTAATCTAAATATTTGCATTATTACATTGGGTTGATGCAGAATAGGGCTGTTCTTGGAATAGGTTTTAGAACTCTATCATAGGAAATGATAGAAAATGTGCAATTCTCTAATTATAAGATTGCAAAATCATTGACTTACTGGTGGTTTTAATTTGTAAAATATGTCAGTGACTTTTCTTCATATTTATATATAAAGAAATAATCCCTAATCACACCCCAAAAAGTAATCCAAACTCTTAGGATCAGTTAGGCCTGTATTTAGTTGGTTTAATTTAGGTTTTAGTTTACTTTGATAGAATTCAAATGCAATGATCAGCATACTTCTCATCTCTTAAAAAAAAGTCATTTACTTTTTGTAATTATCAAAAACTGCTTTGTTTTTTACAGTCAGTTTTCTTGTTATAGGCTCTAAAGCAGCAACAGCAGAAGAAGCAGCAGCAGCAGCAGTGCAGGCCAAGCATGTCCATCTCCTCCAGCCAGCACCTCTCTCTCAAGACTGTCAAAGCAGCCAGTGACTCTGTACCTGCCAAACCTGGTAGGCAGTTAGAGCATTTTTTTTAATTGAAATTTCCTTTTTCCAGTTTTGCATTGTTTTTATAAATGTGTATACTGCATCATTATTTTAAACTGCTTTATTTATTTCTACACTTATTGTACTGCCAGATCATCAATGTAAATCCTTTTCAGATTAATGGGAAAACTTTTATGTGAAAATAATAATGCATTTATTTAAAAAGTGCATCAGTGAGATTTGCATATAACAAGGAAGTTGATGACTAACTTGGCAGTATGTGTAAGTTAATAACATTTGGTAGCCCCTAATTATTACATTACCCTTTTAAATTTTAGATTTCTAAGAGGGTCAAAGTGAAAACTTTACCAGTTCTTTCCTTTAAAAGTAAGATTTCCTAAGAACACATAGTAGCTTGCACTTTCCAGTAGACTTGTCTATAAAGGCCTTTGGAGTTTTTTGTTTCTCTACCATCTTTGTATACTATATATAATTCATTTGATGCCGTAAGCTGATTCTGTGGGCCTGTCATAGATCAAAGTTCTGAGTCTTGCAGAACTTGACATTTTTGTTAGAAAGGAGATTTGTCACCAGAAATAAATAATATAATATGGGAAGAAGGAAGGGATTTTATTTTACTTTTTTGCTCTAGTTTTCAGAATCAGAGCACATTAGCAGGGCCATATTTCCTCATATATAACTCCATTTAATTAACATTGAGTGGTTGTTTGATTAATTGATATTTGTCTATATCCTTAGTAACACCAATCTTTACATATTTTTTCCCCTAGCAATATGGGAAGGAAAGCAATCTGATGGACAGTCAAACAGTCCCCAGAACTCAAACTCCAGCTTTTCTTCCTCAGTGAAAGTGGAAAGTCCATTGCTAGGCTTTGGGAAGAAGTCTTTCCAGAGGTCTGACAGGCTCCACACAAGTAAGTTAGTTTACAAAGATTTCCATGATTTGTTAGTTATGTGCTTGAAATTCATCACCTGTGGTGTGGGTTATGTGCATAATTTAAGCAAATATTGGATGTAATTTTTGTTGACTCAGTTACTTTTGGGGATTTTTTTTTTGCTTCTCTTCATCATACTGGAGATTGAACTAAGGATTTTGAGCATGTTTAGGGAAGTGCTCCACCTCTGAGCTATATTCCACCCTGACATAATTATTTTGGGTTTTTTTTATTGTTTGTTGCTGTTGTTGTTTTTGAGACAGGGTCTTGCTTTGTCCAGGCTGGCCTCAGAATCATAATCCTCCTGTCTCAGCCTCCTGAAAGCTGGATTACAGGTGTGAACCACCACACCTGGCTCTGGTGTAATCACTTTCAAGAAATGAAATTAAACATGGGCAGAATTGATTTAATATGTCCTTTTCCTCTTCACCTTTGAGCTCTTAGCAATCTTTATGTTCTTCCTGTCCTCTCCTTATCAAACTTTATTTCAGAGAAAGAACTGTTATCAGTCTTTTTGTGGTTTATTTATCTTTCTATCAGTAGATTACTTTTCCTTCCTTATTTGTCTTCTATAGACAGATAGAAGAGCTTATGATTAAATACAGCAAACTGCCTTTTTGCTGCCACTCCTTTGGAAATTCCACTAAAATGAGAATGTGGAAAAACAAAAGATTAAATCCACACAGGTGCAGAAAGCAAGGAGACAACAGATGGGCAAGTGCCAACAAACTTTCAAAGGTGAAAACTGGATGGAACTGAAAAGCAGTTGTCATTAATAAGCAAGCCAGCTATAGCTACAGCACACCAGAAAGGGTCACAGGCTGGAGAGGTGATGTATTTCCAGGAGAAAGGCGAGCCACAGAGTTGACAAGAAGAACCATGCAGGGAAGGGCACTCAGTGCTAGAGGGCTTGCTTAGCACGCCCATGGCACTGCACAGGAAGAACCTTGTTTGAAAGTTAAGAAGAAGCATTTTCACCCTAGCAGAAGATATGTTTATTTTGAGGTGAAATTGGATGAAAGAGACTCCAACTTTGGGGATACCACACATAGCCTAGCGCAGATCATGAGGCACTGCACTGAGATCGGGTACATTGAGTAAAATTTCAGTTCTCAAAAGTGCTGCTTCTGGCTGGCTTACCAGGAGTTCCTACCACCACTGTATTCTTCCTCCTCCCAGCATGCTCCAGTATGAGATTGGTAGATTGGTGTATAAAGAAATTGGATAATTTCAGGGAACAAAATCTGCAATCAAATTTACAAGTTATGAACTAAATATATAATTTTGAACACTTCTTTGAGGCCCACAGTCTAGAAGACCTACCCATGCATACAAAATTTCCACTCAGCTTTTTAGTACTGCTTTTTTCCTTCTGATTACTAAGAATCACCTTTGAAGAAAACCTTCATCATGAGAGGAAGAATCAGGTGAAACAGACTTCAGGAAGGGGAAAATTTAAAGACAGTAACTAATGCCATATAGAGAAATAAAAGAGCCTGGTGCCAATGGCTTTTGCCTGTAATCCCAGCTACTTGGAAGACTGAGATCTGGAGGATCAAGGTTGTAGGCCAGCCAGGGCAAATAGTTTGCAAGACTCCCATCTCTAAAAATAACCATAGACAGATAGAGGTATGGCTCAAACGGTAGTGTGCCTCCTGTGCATTCACAAAGCCCTGCATTCAAACCCCATTCCCACCAAAGAAAAGGCAAAGAAATAGAAGAAATCATATCCATGAAATAACAGAATCCTTTTGCTGTTGTTTTGGGTCTTTTTGTTTATTTGCTTGCTTGCTTGTTAGTTTTTTGAGAGAAGATCATACTTAGTAGCCCAGGTTGGCCTTAAACTCAAGATCTCTCAGCTTCTCAAGCACTAGATTACAGGCATGTTCCACAATACCCAGCTCAGAATGCTATTTTTGTTGTTGTTTGCAGTACTAGGGCTCAAACCCAGAGCCTTGTACATGATAGGTAAGCACTATACCAATGAACTAATCCCCACACCAGGATATTATTTTTAAAATAACAAAATAATGAGTTCAAAGATAATGAATTATACAGTAGCAGAAAAGAAATCTAGAAAATATGTCCAGTAGATGAAGAGAGTAGAAGAGAAAAGTTAAGAAAATTGGCATACTGCTACCTACCAGTATAGTAAGACTATCAGAAACGAAGAAAAGAAGTTGAAAAGGAAGTAAATGCTAGGAAAAGCCATATAAGAAATCTTAGAATTAAAGCCACAGGATTCCAGAAAATTCCAGACATGAAAGATGTCAAAATATAAGTAAATAAAGGCTTTGCCAGGATACATTGTTTTGAAACTTTAAAACATCCAGGATAAGGAGCCTCCAGAAATAAAATAAGTATGCTTAACATAAAAAGATTAAAAAACTGGGATTGTACTTGTTTATTATAGCACTGTTCACTGTAGCCAAGATATGGAATGAACCCAAGTGACAATTGACTAATGAACAGGTAAAGAAAATGTGGTATTTACACACATTGAACTATTTAGACATTTTATTTTATTTTCATTTTTCTTTTATTATTCATATGTGCATACAAGGCTTGGTTCATTTCTCCCCCCTGCCCCCGCCCCCTCCCTTACCACCCACTCCGCCCCCTCCCTCTCCCCCCCCCAATACCCAGCAGAAACTATTTTGCCCTTATTTCTAATTTTGTTGTAGAGAGAGTATAAGCAGTAATAGGAAGGAACAAGGGGTTTTGCTGGTTGAGATAAGGATAGCTATACAGGGCATTGACTCACATTGATTTCCTGTGCGTGGGTGTTACCTTCTAGGTTAATTCTTTTTGATCTCACCTTTTCTCTAGTACCTGTTCCCCTTTTCCTATTGGCCTCAGTTGCTTTAAGGTATCTGCTTTAGTTTCTCTGCGTTAAGGGCAACAAATGCTAGCTAGTTTTTTAGGTGTCTTACCTATCCTCACCCCTCCCTTGTGTGCTCTCGCTTTTATCATGTGCTCATAGTCCAATCCCCTTGTTGTGTTTGCCCTTGATCTAATGTCCACATATGAGGGAGAACATACGATTTTTGGTTTTTTGAGCCAGGCTAACCTCACTCAGAATGATGTTCTCCAATTCCATCCATTTACCAGCGAATGATAACATTTCGTTCTTCTTCATGGCTGCATAAAATTCCATTGTGTATAGATACCACATTTTCTTAATCCATTCGTCAGTGCTGGGGCATCTTGGCTGTTTCCATAACTTGGCTATTGTGAATAGTGCCGCAATAAACATGGATGTGCAGGTGCCTCTGGAGTAACAGTCTTTTGGGTATATCCCCAAGAGTGGTATTGCTGGATCAAATGGTAGATCGATGTCTCTATTTAGACATTTTAAGAAAAAAGGGATGAAATTCTGTCATTTGTGACAGCATGAATGGAACTGGAACACATGCTATAAGTGAAATAAACCAGGCACAGAAAGACAAACCCAACATGATCTCACGGATGGAATCCAAAAAGTGTTGCTCTCTTTGTAGTTGAAAGTAGAATGGAGGTTACCAGAAGCTAGGTTGAAAGGGGGGGGGGGGATGGGGAGAACTTAGTTAATGGGTACCAAGTTATAGTCAGGTAAGAGAGTTAAGTTCTGATGCACTATTACACAGTAGGGTGACTGTACCTAACTGGTAATATACAATGTATTTCAAAAAATTTAAAGGAAAGGACACTGAATGTTTTTACAAAGAAATGATGTTTCCCAGGAGGTAAATATACTTGCCCTGGTTTGAACAGTATGCAGTGTGTGTACTGAAACACCACATGCTGCTGCATAAGTGTGTGCAGTTTCTTACATCAGTGAAAGTGATTAAGCATTGTGTGACTTACTCAGTCACAAGTTACAAAAAGAAGACGACTAGGGTTGCAGACATCCCAGCAGCTGCATGAATGATAAAAGATGAATAAATTGAGGGACGAGGGCAGTGCAATAGGAGAGCATATGCTTAGCACGTGTGATACCATGATTGTGCTCCTCAGCACTACAAAATTAAAAAGTTCAGCAACGCTGGCACATTGTGAGGGAAATTGATTCTACCTCATTTACATATTCCAAGCCCAAACTATTAATTGTGAGGCTAGAATTGCTGATATTTGTAGATAGATGCTTTTTAAAAAAAAAAAAAATCCTGGTTACATTCTAGGTGGGAGTTTAAATTAGTGTATTTTTCTTAAAGGGAGTAGCTCCCATATTTAAGCTGAATATACTGTTTGATCGCCAGTTCCACTAAGGATAAAGTATTCATTAAACAAACACTTATACTTGTAGAAGTGATGCTAATATGCAAATACAGGTTTGGAGCCCTACAGATATAGTAATGAGCAGAACAAAGTTCCTTCCTTAGGGAGCCTATGTTCTACTTAAAAATCCATTTAAACTCACAATTTTAGTGTTTTCATTTAATTACAATGGAAATGTGGAGGAACAAAATTGAAAAATTATGTACTGAGATTTTTCTAGTTTTCATGGAAAACGAGAAAGAGCCCTAAAAAAAGAAGGCATCAAGTGTGTAAATTTGACCCAAAGGCTGAAGTAAATGAAAATTTATCTTTCATACACATGAGGATTATGGAAATTTTTACAGTTGAACCACAGGGAATATTTTCAAAACACATGGAAAAAGTTGTACTTTTGTGTAAAGCATAAATGATAAAACTAAATTAAGTAATTTACATGGAATAATTTTAGCTAACATTGGCACAGTTTAAGTTCAGTAACATTGACAGTATGTTTTTATAACCCAGATTCTGTCAAATGTAACTCAGATTTTAAGTACACTAGAATAGATTAAGGAAGCCTAAACTAAAAGACACAAAGTCAACTTTACCAAAATTTGTGGACTTAAACTAGCTAGTTACTTTGTCCAAAGTACATAAAATATTTTCAAAAAGCATTTTCATCAATACTAGAGAATAGTTTCTGACTTTTCAGTCTTACTTAAGGGAATTTAAAAATTAGCGCC